TCTGATCAGCCTTCAGCAAAATAAGTGGGTTTTTACCCTCTGATTATACCCCCCAAAGACGTAAAGGATTATGGGGATGTGAAAGTCAAGAATAGTAGATAGTTTTACGGCTACACATGCATGCATTCATTTCCGAATCTGATATTAATTACAGCTATTTCAAAAAGGTTGAATACTGAGTACTGCATACTGACTAGTGTATTCCAAGACCGAAATGCATTGTGGGTCATAGTGACATTGTCTAAAGTAGGATTAATAGAGTGCAAATAATATACCCGTGAAATAAATAGCTAGCTAACTAATTACTAACTTTGTGCTATTGGTTGCCTAAGTCTAATTAGTCAAAGAAATAGGCGAGCCGTGACGGATAAACTAGTGCACGTGTGGTACCCAAGGGCGCGCATTTTAAAATAATTTTAAGCACGCTGGCGAAAACTGAAACAATATTTTATYGTACATGCTTTTCCTTCGTATAATTTGGCATGTTCGCATTTTCRAATTCGTATCTGTTAAACAAACAAGTGAACTTGATTCATGTTTTATGACTTGATATTCAACTGATGACTGTATAATCTTCAAATTGTCTAGTGTTTCTTAAAGTCATTGCTTTTTCGTTCTTAGCGTAAGCTAAATTTCAAATGACGATAGTTTTTCTTCGTTAATTGTCCACACTGCGGGCAGAAGCMAAAGTGTCGTTCTACGAAGYTCAAACAAGTAGGGCAAATACGGTTCAATCGAAATGGTTTTTGGACTGGCCAAAGCCAATACGCAGTGGACACCTGGAGTACTGGAACACAACATGCACATTGGAGTAATAACTGATGCCTTTCTCGCCATTTTCAAGGAAAAAGTAAGAAAAGTTTATGGAAGATCTTGGCGAATTTATATTTAACTGGCTTTTTAAATTATCTAATCAATAACGATTTTGATGTTCTACAAATTTTAATTATAAAAAATAAAAAGATAACAGAAAACACGTAGAAAACACGTTTATTTGCGTACTGGTTTTCTTTAGCTATAGTTGTTTGAGTCTTGATTTGTTTTAGTTTATAAATGCGTATTGTCTTGATTTTTAGCGCGATAAAACAAATAAAAATGGTAGAAAACACGTTCATTTGCGTACTGGTTTTTTTGTGTCATGATTTACTGCAGAATTAAATGTGCGTCTTGTGTCTTGATTCTTAGCTCAATTTAATAAACTTGTTAGAAAAAACGTTCATTTGCGTAATGAGTTGTTACTCTAGTAAACGCCCGTGCCCTTGTCATGCCTCACTGAATTCCTATGTGTTGTCTAATTAAGCGCTAACTATCTCCTATTTAATCCTAACTATTTCACGGGTATATTATTTGCACTCTAATAATAATTTTTTCCTATTTTTAGTGTATTCCATTACATGTAGTGGGTTAATTGCTGTATTATTTACTTTTTATTTCAAATTAACGAGATCCATAATGCATATTCTGATGAAGAAATTGCACAGTATTTCTATCTTGCTAGCCTGCTTTTTTTGTTTATCTATTTGTTTGTTTTTTGTTAGTCTTCCGCTTCCTGCTTGTTCTCTTCCACGTTTTGCTTTGCTTTTCTTTTTCTTTCCCTTCACACAGCACAATAAGCAAGTTTTTATGTTTGATAAAGGAGCAGAAGTGTTTTATCGGAATTTTTGACCCGATAAAACACGATCTGAGAGTTTATTAAACGGTTTAAAAAAACTCATGGTGTAGTCTCATATCGTACCGAATTCGTTATGAAATGAACCAAGTTTGATAGAGAAAATCCAAGAATCTATATCAGATATAAAACCTCCTTCATGGTCATGATGTCTATTGTGTTTCCTTCACGAATTATAAATTCATTTTTAAAATAAAAATTCCTGTTATTTTAGATAGGCGCGCGCGCATGCTGTGTGCTCTCATAAAGCACGCGCGAGATTCATAACAGTTATTTTATACTTTTAATAGCGTCATTCCTATGTAAAATTTCTTCATTTGCAGCATCTCGTTTGACTCCCCGTCTATAAAGTAACTTTGCTTTTTGTGGGTTTCCTGTGTTGTGATCGGTTTCCTTTTACATAAGCTGTAATCAGATCTGCGCTGTGATCAGATCGGCGCTGTAAACTGATAGCCGATTAAAATCAACACTCAAAAGAATGCTTACTAGAAAGTGCGTTACACACCACAGGCAACCCATAAGAAACAAAACACGTTATTGTTAGACCATAAAACACGCGGGATGTTGGGAGAACACGAGAGGAGCGTTGGAAACCACGAAGCGTAATTTCCAGCTTCTCGAGTGTTCTTCCAACATCCCAAGTGTTTTGATCAGAGTATCAAACACGGAAAACTGTTTTTGATTTGTTTTATAAAATAACAAACGCGCGAAAGGACCAAAAAAAGCAAAGTATAAGTAAATTCTCCCTACGTGCCGTCTTATTCAAACTGACCGATGAGCGTGCGCGATAGATTTAAATCTGACAGTTGCAATACTCGCGCGCGCTAAAATGACTAAAATTTCTAAAATTTCTCTTATAAAATACAAATTACAATAATAGATAGGAATGACGCAACGGAAAGTGCGCGCGCGTGCAATGTGCTCATAAAGCACGCGCTCCAAACCAATCAGAACGCGACATTCATAACAGTTATTTTATAATACTCTCATCAAACAGCTCATCAAACATAGTTTTTGACCAATCGTAGCGCGCGTAGTATCTTAATTATTTTATTAAATTTCTAAAAGAAGCAAAAAAAATATAGCCAGGTTCTACGGAGCCCGATTAGTGCCATGCAAATTTCGTGATTGTTTTTACTTTTCTCGACTTTTTTCACGACTTTTTTCTCGACTTTTTTCTTGACTTTTTTCCCGACTTTTTTCTCGACTTTTTTCTCGACTTTTTTCTCGACTTTTTTCTCGACTTTTTTCTCGACTTTTTTCTCGACTTTTTT